ATGGCTACATATCATCTAACTCCATACAATCCCCACTTCCATTTTCCCACAATAGAAAATGCATAGCAGAATAATAGAAATTGTGGCAGGCCTGAGATCCACAAGAAAAGATGGCTGCAGGCCTGACAAATAGAGTTTGAAGGGCCCTTTGAGGTCTTCTAGTCCACCCCCCTGTTGAAACAGGAGACCCTATACTATTTCAGACAAATGGTGGTTCAATCTTTTCTTTAAAACCTCCAGTATTGGAACACACGCAACTTCTGGAGGGGAGGCATTCCACTGGTTAATTGTTCTCATTGTTAGGAAATTTCTCCTTAGTTCTAAGTTGATTCTCTCCTTGATTAGTTTCCATCCATTGCTTCTTGTTCTACCCTCAGGTGCCTTGGAGAATAGCTTGACCCCCTCTTCTCTCTGACAGTCCTTCAAATATTGGAAGGTTGCTATCATGACACTCCTAGTTGTCCTCTTCTGTTTTAGTTTTGGAAATCCTGCATGTTTTGGTCTTGAGCTTCCTGCTTTCTTTTTCTCTCTTTTTCTCTTTATTTATTCATTCCTTTTTTTTTACCTGCAGTTGTCCCCAAAGAAAACCTGGGAAGGGTTCATTGGAGGATTCTTTGCCACTGTCGTGTTTGGCCTTTTAGTAAGTGTTTGTTTTACTTTAATAAGAACCACACAATTGAGAGGAGAAACTAGGAAGAATGTGGACACTTTTATAATAGGCATTGGATGCAGGAAATTCGCCAGGAAATTCACACAGAAAGGCTTATACAGACTGGAAAAGATATGAGCAAACAACCCTTTTTTTGGAATGAAGACAATTTGAACACTAAGAGAGACTACAGGAACTGGAAATGTTCCTTCATGAGAACAGCGAGGAGGGATAAAATAGGTTTCTCACTCTCCATTGTTCCAAGATTTAAGTCTCAGGCAGACCAATTCCAATGTCAATGTTTGAAACAGCCTCCCAAAATTAAGAGTTTAGCAATATGGATGACCCAGGTATGTGATGGGCTTCCATTCACCGGATGGAAAGTCACTGTAAGACTCTCTCTCTTATGTGGATGAAAGATTGGATTGAGTTAAAAAAATAAAAGAACACAGATTTTAGAAGGCCATGACTTGCAGTTAGGATGGCACCCGTTTTTATGGGACAGCAAAAATAAAACCCAGTTATTTTCAGAAACATTTAATTAGGGATACTTTGCTACAAGTATGGTAAAAGAAAAACCCTAAAAAAAAAACACTATATTAAATTTCCGAATTGGCTATCAATGATGGAAGCGTTAATCTACCCAAATGTATTAGACATAGATAAAATAAAAAGATATAAAGATTTACTAAACGATCAGGGAGAATTAAAAACAAGATTAGAACTAAAAGAACAGGGCAGAGACATTGATTGGTGGTCATATATGCAGATACAGGCTAGATATATAAAGAATAGTACAGATTCCAAACAGAACTGCAAGATCTAGATAAAGTTTTACAAGGTACAGAGGATAAATTGATCAAGAAATTATACAACTACTTATTGAATTACAGAATGGAGGAGGAAGTAGTTAAAGAAACTATGATAACTTGNTTTTTTCTCTGGAAATCCATTCCTACTCCCACACCATTCCAAGGGTGTCCATCCCAAATTGTATAGCTAAAAGTCTCCAAGTGCTTTAAGGACCCTCTCAAACGATGCAAATGATCAGCTGTCTGCAAGGAATGGGACAACCAGGACCTGGATGACAGAAAATCTTTACAGATTTGAGCTATTCAATTTGGGATGAACATCCTTGGAATAGTGTGGGAAGAGGAATGGATTTCCAGAGAAAAAAATGCAGACTACAGGAACCATTAGTATTACTCAGGTGACCCTGAGGACACAGATAAATCTCCAAGTGCTTCAAGGACTCTCTAAAAGGATGCAAATGATCAGCTGTCTGCAAGGAATATAAATCCTTCCATTCCCTACCATCCAGTCACAGCTGAAGAAGATTCTTGGATGATAAGCAAAAGTCTTCAAAAAAAAAAACCAGAAAGTCGAGCTGCCTTTTGGGAAAAAAAGCACCTTTGTGACAAATAGCTTTGAGGAGTTAATAGGGAGCAGCTTCCAAGGAGAGGGCGGGGGGCAAAGCTCTTTAAGGACCCTCGTTGGTTGTTTAGGGCAGATCCTCTATCCAAAACCGCCTTCCCTGGCCTGGTCTCCAGAGGGGTTGAGTGTCCCAACTAGCATTGTCCAAGCGAAGAGCCCCCTTGGTTGGCAGTTCTATTATCCTGACTACAGGTGAATCAAATTCTCCCTTCTCTTTTGCCCACCTCGGATGCTGTCTAGGTTTATTGTCCCGATTTCCTGTGTCATCTGCAATGACATCATGGCATACATGTTTGGATTCTTTTTTGGACGTACCCCGCTGATTAAGGTCGGTTCCTATGTTGGGGTGCTTGGAGCATCTGCAGTGGACAGCCTTGGTTTCAGTTAAGGACAAAGTCATCCATGAGCCACTCCAACTGATGGAACAGAATAAGAATGACAGAATAACAGTGTCAGGGTTCCAAATTGCATCCAAAATTAAATCAGAGTCCAAGGCAAAGGATTGCTCAACATTCCGATTTATTAAGAGAGTCACATTGGCCCATCTGGGAAAACCCGAATCTGAAAGCTTCCCAGTTTTCCCCTCCCAGTTGGAAGTTAAAGATCTTGCCCCCACACCACAAGTCCATCACGTGGTCCAATCTCCCACTGCCATGCTGGCAGTTCCACCCATCCAGTTCCAGTCAGGTGCAGAGGTGCAAAGACAAAGGATNGACTCAGGAATTCTGGGAGTTGAAGTCCGTGAGTTGTAAAGGGGCAATAGCCAGCATGGCTGACTCAGGAATTCTGGGAGTTGAAGTCCGTGAGTTGTAAAGGGGCAATAGCCAGCATGGCTGACTCAGGAATTCTGGGAGTTGAAGTCCGTGAGTTGTAAAGGGGCAATAGCCAGCATGGCTGACTCAGGAATTCTGGGAGTTGAAGTCCGTGAGTTGTAAAGGGGCAATAGCCAGCATGGCTGACTCAGGAATTCTGGGAGTTGAAGTCCGTGAGTTGTAAAGGGGCAATAGCCAGCATGGCTGACTCAGGAATTCTGGGAGGCGAAGTCCGAGAGTTGTAAAGGGGCAATAGCCAGCATGGCTGACTCAGGAATTCTGGGAGTTGAAGTCCATGGGTCATCAAAAGGGGCCATGATTCCCCACCCCTGCCCTTCCCTTTAAGAATCTGGGTTTATTCTCAGTTAATTTAAGGACAAGCATCACCTGGACAAGATGGGCTTGGATGTAATTCCACCCTCCATTGTGCAGTGTGGGGAGATACAGACAATCCTCGACTTACAACACTTCTTTTAGTGACCATATAAAGTTACAAGAAGTGACTTCTAGCCATTTTTCACACTTACTATTGTTGCAACATCCCCCGTAGTCCCACGGTTAAAATGGAGACGCTTGGCAACTGACTCGTATTTATGACGGTTGCGGTGTCCTAGGACACATGATCCCCTTTTACGACCTTCCATCCATTGGTTCAGTGGGTTTTGTCCCATTTTACGACTTTCCTTCCCGCATTCGTTAAGCGAACCACTGCGGTTGTTGAATGAGTCACAGCGTGACGAATCGTTAGGTCCCTCTGCCTTCCCCCTGGACTTTCGCTTGTCGGGAGGTCGCAAAAGGGGGGATCGCATGACCCCTGGGGACAACGCAACCGTCATAAATATGAACCAGCGGCCAATCCGTCTGAATTTGGATCGCATGACCCCCCCACGGGGACGCCACAACGGTCGTAAGCGTGAAGAACGGTCACCGTTCCCCTTCCCCCCCCCCCCAGTGACGACGTGGTGGTCGCTAAGTGGACTCTTGTGAGTCGAGAACCCCCTGTATATCAAATGATGTGGGCTGATGCAAGCAATGTGGGTCCTTGATTTATGCTCGGATTTCCCCCAAAACAAACAAACGTGATTTGGGTATTGGAGGCTGGTGATTGTTTTGGCAGCAATCGAACCAGATCGAGAAGGCGGTTGGCTTGGAGAAACTCAAGGTCTTACAAGTCTTGGATCTGTCTGGCAACCAGATCAACAGCTTGGAGGGTCTGGAAGACCACCTCCTCCTGCAGGACATCAACCTGGAAGATAACCAGGTAAGGTGGACACAGCCCAGGAGACTCCGCGGCCAAGCGCTCGGGGTGTGGGGGGGGGNAAAGTTCAAGATCTTGCCCCCCCACAAGTCCACCCCATGGTCCAATCTCCCACTGCCATGCTGGCAGTTCCACCCATCCAGTTCCGGTCAGGTGCAGAGGTGCAAAGACAAAGGATGACCTTGGCTTTCTAGAAAGAATGTTGTTATGGCTACATATCATCTAACTCCTTACAACCCCCCCTCCCCCCATTTTCCCACCATAGAAAATTCATAGCAAAATAATAGAAAGCGTGGCAGGCCAAAGACCCCCCAAAAAAGATGGCTACAGGCCTGACACCAGGTCCCACTCGGGATGGACAGAAGGATGGGGCATTTGGGCCTTCAGAGGTTGAAGGAATCTAGAAAGTTTGCTCTCTCGTGAGTCCCTCTGCCGCCTGCGTTGTCGTAGGTTGGTAACAATTGGAGGATTCGAACAGGTGTCTTGTAATCTCAGCTGATGGGAAAGTTTGGTACAACAAAGCTGATAGAAGAGAATAGGACAGGAAACGGGGACGATGGGCCCCTTGGGTCTCTCTGAACTCGGTTGTTTTCTTGGAGACGTTTTATGACAGACCCAGGTCACATCATCAGTGCTAGAAGGGATTGCGCAGACCCTGCTCCCCTCTAGGCAGGGCTCATTCCGAATGCTCGTCCTTTGCTATTTGCTTCACCCGGGCGTCCATTTTTGTTGTTTGTTTGTTTTTTTTCTTCTCATTCCAGGGGAAATTCATCGTCACTTTCAAATATAACGACTTCTACTATGGGCTGAGCCGAGAGATCATTGAAACCATCGCTAGGGAGGGGCTGGCCACCTGCGTGCATTTAGACATAGAGGTAGGAAGCCCCCCCTGGCCTGGCGGCCGAAGCATTTTCAGGGCGGCGGGGGTTTATGCACTTGGGTTTAAACTGTGGTCTGGTTCAATGGAAGCAGGAAGGTCTGGAGAAGAATCCAGAGAACGGAGAGGCGGAAGGTAAGACTCCTGTGGCGCAAGGAGGGAAGAGAATTGTGGGGGAAAGAGGGCAGAGGGGCTGAAAGAGTCAGCAGACTCCCATGAACCTATCTTAAACCAGTGCTTCTCAACCTTAGCAACTTTGAGATAAGTGGACTTCAACTCCCAGAATTCCCCCGACAAGCAGGCTTTAAGATAGTTGCACCAAAAGTGCTTTTTCAAGAGGCAACTCTCTCTCTCTCAAAGGGTGTCAGAAGTTTGAAGAATTCCTACTTCAAGCCACGATACATCCTACTGATTCCAGTGAACAAAGAGAAATATGGGGGCCACCTCCGAAGGATGGGCTTGTTCGGCAGACCGGAGATCGAGGAAGCTCTCCGTACGGTAGACATGTACACCAGAGTGAATCAGGATTGCCCAGGCTTCTTCGATGCCGTCATCAACGTAGGTCAGTCTGTTACTTTATAAACTAGGTTTAAAGCTAACCCTAACCAGAAGGACCACAGTGAAATATCCATTGGAAGCAAATGGAAGTGGACCTCGGGTTGCACAGTTAACAGGCCCTTAACCCACAACTCCACTGTGGCTCTTTCTCAACTTTGAGAAAGAGGGGCCAACTCCCAGAATTCCCCAGCCAGCATGATTTATGATAGGTGGACTTCAATTCCCAGAATTTCCCTGCTAGCATGATTTGTGATGGGTGGGAATTCAACTCCCAGAACTCCCTGGACGGCATGTTTTAAGACAGGTGGACTTCAACTATCAGAATTCCCCAGCCAGCATTCTGGGAGTTGAAGTCCTCCCATGCCATTTGCCAGGGACCACAAAAACTGGCCGTAAGTTACTTTTTTTCAGCGCCGTTATAACTGAACAGTCACTAAACAAGTGGTCGTAAGTTAAAGCCTACCTTGTTTTCCCCCAAAATAAGACCCAACTGGAAAATAAGCCCTAGAATGCTTTTTCAGGATGCTCGTAATATAAGACCTCCCCCCCCAAAATAAGACCCAGTTTAGATCGTCAGCAGACAGAGGCATTTAGTACTGTATTTCCCCCAAAATAACAAAAATGAATATAAGACCCAGTCTTATTTTGGGGGAAACACAGTACTTAGATGCCAGATTACGAGAATGATCTGGGCTGCCAGCGGCTGCATCTTCTCCCAGCCTTGACCAAAGCGCTTCTCTTCTTCTCCCAAAAAACCCTCTAGATGATTACGATGAAGCCTTCTCCAAACTTAGCAGCCTTCTGGAAGAGTTCCTGGGGCTGGGGCAGCCTTCTGAATCCACAGCCTCGGTTCCTGCAGCCGACCGCAAACATGTTTCAGGTATTAAACACGGCTGAATCCTACAACTCCCACAATTCCTTGGAAGGAGAAAGTCTCATTGGGAAAGGAAACTTGGTGCCTGGAGCCTCCCTTATATATACAGCTTCTTAAAGTGACAGTAACCCTGCTGACTCATTCTCATTTCATCATCTCCGTTTGCATCCTTACAGCAGCTGGTCAGCTATTAAATCATCATTACCGTAACAATTTATTTATTAAAACCTTGGAGGGTGGCTCTTTAATATGAACCTTTCCATTAAGATGTTGAATTGGGAAAGGGATATGAACGGCTGGATATAATGGAAAAATGTGATGAAAATACGAGAATTTGTGTTCTGGGACAGACATTAGAAAGGGGTGGAATTAGAAAGCCCCGTAGACCAGCTAGCCGGCACACGGAGGCCTGTTTTTTGATGTTTTATGGGCCGTTTTCAGGCCATTTTTGTCCCAAAAAATGACCAGAAAATGGCTGGAAAAATGACGTGATTTTTGGTCATTTTTGGCTGGTTTTGTGGCCATTTTCCAGGCCGTTTTCCGGGCTGTTTTCCGGCCATTTTTAGCATGAAAAAATGACCTAAAAACAGCCTGGAAAACAGCCACTAAATGGCCAAACAGCAAGCCAAAAATGCCCCCAAAATGGCCGTTTTACAAGCCATTTTCGGCCCTCTGGCGCTCTCAAAGACCAACATGCCAGAAACCAGAAGAGCAGCTGGTAACGACGTGTGTGGCCACATAGAGGGCCCTCCGTGCCACCTCTGGCATGCATGCCGTAGGTTCGCCCTATACCATGCCAGAAAATAGCTGTCCAATCTCTTCTTGAAAACCTCTGGGGATGAAGCACCCACGATTTCTGACGGCAGAGCCGTTCCACCGATTATCTGCTGTTTGTTTTTAGCCCCCAGCAAGGAGTCGCCTGCAGTTCTGAAAGTAAACGTCCTGGGGACCGACGGCGTTGCCCCCTCGCCCACTCCCAACGAATTTATGGATTCTTCCGCCAAAAATTACTCCGCCAAAATATCAGCCCAGCTTTCATCGCAGAAGACTCGGGTGGTAAGTAAAAGACCAGGAACACGTTTTGAGCTATTAATGAAGCACAAAGTTATGTTAATCCGAACTGGACACTTGCAAGTCCAGATGGATTTCCAGAAATGTCCCAAAGATTGTTCTGATCCCAAACACGACAAACCCTCTGAAGTGATTAGGAGCGCCGGCAGCCCCGGCAAAAAGTTTCTCTCTCACTACAGGCTAACAAGTCCGTCCGGTGGGGAGAGGAATAGCTGTCTGCCACATTTATTCATGTCCGCCCCCTGATTTTGATTCCCAGAGCTCAGGTGGAGCTTCGCTAGCAGTGGTGGCTCTTTCGTCCCAAGGACCAGCCCATAGATTTACACTGCTCTCCTCTCCTCTGCCTTCTGTGCATCCGCACGTCAGGCACTCAGGGATCTTCCATCCCAAGGACCGGCCCATGGATTTCCACTGCTCTCCTCTCCTCTGCCTTCTGCACGTCAGACACTCAGGGATCTTCCATCCCAAGGACCAGCCCATAGATTTCCACTGCTCTCCTCTCTTCTGCCTTCTGCACATCTGCATGTCAGGCACTCTGGGATCTTCCGTCCCAAGGACCGGCCCATAGATTTCCACTGCTCTCCTCTCCTCTGCCTTCNAAGTCCTGTGGACTTCAACTCCCAGAATCCCCCAGCCAGCATAGCTGGCTGGGGAATTCTGGGAGCTGAAGTCCACAGGACTTCAAGTCACCAAGGTTGAGAAACACTGCTCTAATGTCATTTAGTAGAACGATTAAGGGACAGGTAATGATTGGAGGTAGCGTCTGCCAAGAGAAACTGGAGAGAAAGCAGATAGTGCTTTGGATTGTGAGATAGCAATGGCACTTAGATTTTTTACAGGTCGTCCTCGACTTACAACATTTCACTTAGTGACCAAAGTTTCAACGACACTGAAAAAAAGGAGCGTAGGGCCGTTTCTCACACTTACGACCGCTGCAGCATCCCCACGGTCACGTGACTTAACATTCAGATGCTTGGCAACTGATTCGCATTTATGACGCGAACTGTTATAAGTCAGAGACTCCCTGTACCCTCTTATTTCTGAGCGTCTCTTCCTTCTCTATTTCCCAAACTGCGCGAGGATCATCTGATGAAATAACTTTTCTTCTGTTAGCCTGAAATCGAACCCATCTCTGCCTTTTCCTCAGGAGCAAGAAGATTATTGGCTCCTGGTGATTTTTATGCTGCTCCGTCTGACCGAACTGGATCACAAGAAGATCTCCGTGGAGGAAAAGGTAAATGCCCCCACCTCAGAAAGATGGAAGGCTGAACCTTGAGCCGGTCAGAATCGAACCGCTGGCAGAGTTAAGCCTGCAATACTGCGTTCTAACCTCTGCGCCATCACAGATAGATGATAGATAACAATAGCAATAGCACCTCGACTTATATACTGCTTTACAGTGCTTTTACAGCTCTCTGTAAGTGGTATATAGAGTCAGCCTCTCGCTCCCCAACAATCAGGCTCCTCATTTTACCCACCTCAGAATGATGGGTGAGTCAACCTTGAACCAGTCAGGATCGAACTGATAGCAGTGGGCAGAAAGCCTGCAATACTGCAGTCTCACCACTGTACCATCATGGCCCTTCCTTCCTTCCTTCCTTCTTCCCTCCCTTCCTCTTTCTCCCTTCCTTAGTACTTACCAATAGCACTTAGACTTATATAGCACTTCACAGTGCTTTTACAGCCCTCTTTAAGCTGTTTATAGAGTCAGCCTCTCTTGCCCCCAACAATCGGGGTCCTCATTTTACCCACCTCAGAATGATGGGTGAGTCAATCTTGAACCAGTCAGGATCGAACTGATAGCAGTGGGCAGAATTAGCCTGCAATACTGCAGTCTCACCCCTATACCACCATGGCCCTTCCTTCCTTCCTTCCTTCCTTCCTTCCTTCCTTCCTTCCTCCCT